TGTTTTTCAAACACATGTGCATGCGTTTTCAACCACAACCTTGACTGGACTTGTTTTCTGCATGATGCGTTTTATTTTCGGAAGCTGCCAACTATTTTTGTCAACAGTTTGGATGTTTTTGGAATTTGTGCAAACAGTGCGTTTGAAGAGAAGATGGAAGTGAAGCTGATTTATTTTTGGAAAGATGGTGAATTCATCACCAATGAATTCACCAACATGATGATGATGTTTTTCGACCGCCGCCGTTGCATGTTGCAAAGGCAAAGCAGCTGAAACAGAAGAAGTCCAACTATAACATGCTGCATGTGCATGACAGACAACTTGCCTTCGTGTTTTTCCTGTGTGGAAAAAGGATTTGAGAGTTCGCAGTGAAGCTGTCGTGTTTTTTGGGTTTTAACTTGTTAAACGCTCGACGCGGAGTTAAGCCGACCCAATTCGACGCAAGCGCACGATTCTAGTGGTTGTAATTAGGTCCTGTTGGATTTTCGCATCCTTCGACCGCGCTGAATCATACACCAGAGTGATCGATGGTCAGGTAAGATGTATCACGCCTGAAGTCAAGCCGCAAAATTTGCAGGTCATTTGGAACGTGCAGTTTATCACAGTCTTTGTGCCGGCATGGATGATCCCGCCCGTCTACCATAGTCTGCGCAGAGAAAGCATTAAAACCGCTAGTTCTGCAAGTCCCATAGGAGTCCAGTCAGTCCGTCCCACCTGGTTTGAAGACACAACACCCAAGGACACCACATCTCAATCACCTCAAGACCCTCAAAAGGAGCAACCCCAGCCTCTACATGGGCTGAAGTTAGTCATCAGAGAAGAGGTGTTACCAGCGAATGACCAACCCCAGTTCTCCTCGCTTGAGCTTTTGGCTGGCAGAGGCCTATTGGCACCTGACACATGGAAGTGCAAACGTGCTCAAGTCAGCCTCAAAGCAACTATTGATGTCCCCATGTTGGGTACAATCATAGAGCAAAATGGTGACGGACTCCTGGAGGACTCTCACATGCCTGTGGGATGGCTACTCCACATCGATGGCGCTGTCAGACAATGTTGTATTCACAGAGCTGCCAGCTTGCAAGAATTAGATGATATGCTCAAAGAATATGACATGAAAAGGGATTCAGTGGAAATCAACTATGACGCGCCTCAATGGTCCCATCATGCAGTGTGGAACCGAAAGTATATGGAACCAAAACCAGGATATACACTGGAGCAACTATGGGCTGACTCCGAGCCTGCCATAAGCAAGAAAACGACCACGTCATATGATGTGCAAGCAAATGACGTCCAACGTGCCGTAGCGGCCATTCAGCGCTTCCCATCCCCCATTCCTCCCGACAGCCCCTTCCTACGAGCGTTAGGGACACCAGCTGCCCTGAAAGCCCCACCACAGACTGACACCCTATCGCAACACCCTATCGCAAAGAGCTCTGGAGGAATGGGAACGCACTTTGTGTGAAAACAAGGCGGTGGCAATCCTCGCCGAGATACAAGCCGGCTGACCAACTATAATCCACAAAGATGGTGGCGAAATGCTCATTGCCATTGTCCTTGACAGGCCACTGGCGGAAGCGAAGGAGCTGGTTGATGACCCCGCGGCATTCACTCGCGAAATGACGCGGATCCTGAGTGACAAGCGAACCCACCCGCTCATCGCCCAAATGATGAAACCAGCGGAGAGCAGTGATCCCCCCCCCGCCACTGCTGCCGCCAGTGGTGCTAGTAGCAGTGGCGACCCTCGCACCACCTCACACGAGCAGTTCCAGTAAGCCACATGGGTGACGCAGAATACCCCTGTGTCCCATCCATGCATTCAGCCTGTAAGTTGACCTAGGTTGCGCGGCGTTGTCACCATGGGGTACTCATGGTTGATTACTGCCCGCTGCGACTACCTTTGCCGTTAGCATGCCGACGCCAGTTTGGGACGGGAGGCGGTGGGGGGCGGTTATAATAATCCTCTTCTGGGTTTTTTAAGGTGTTTTTTGTGTTCGGGTTGATCTACCTTAAATATTGCATGGTAGTGTAGGGCGATGTCAAAGTACATCTAGCCATGGTGCCCGTCGCCGTTTGACCTTTGATCAACCAATCTTTCGACCGGCCAATGATCTTCACCACACCACCACATGCCCGTTCTTGACCAAGGTGGCAATACTGTGAACACCAGTTGAATACCTTGAAGCCTTAGTCCACCTACAAACCTGTAGACAACTTTGTCCGTTGGAATGGAGCGACCGACTCCTATCAAAGACGCCGCTGTCCATCGCCTTGCACAGTCCATCACTCAAATGACCCTCTGCCAGGTCACTACCAGTGAAGTCGATGATGCCACCAAACTTCTAGAGAAGGCCCGACAGAAGCTTCAAGGAATCCAAAACATCCCATCCCAGAGGGTGAATGACCTTGAGGCGGCTATACGCCAACTCCGTCAAATTGGCTGTATCTTGGATAGCTGTACCATATCTGCCTGTTACGAAGTAACCCAGGCACAGAAAGCCTTACTACAGCTTCACCATACAGCCAAGGGAGCCAGCACCTCGTCCGAAGAACTCAATGCACAGATATCACCACGCACCGATGACGAGTACAATCTCCCATACCATGAAGACGAGTTGCAAGAGCACTAGCACAATGGTGCCTACCGGAACCAATTTTGATGCAGTATGATGATTGGAAAAGCAGATCTGAGCGGACTCTGAGTGTGCCCTGAGTGCCGTAGCCTCGACGTCCTTTTCACCTTAGATCATGGTTCACTCTCATGTTTCACTGCGGTAGTTTTTTTCTCACCACTTTGTTGTGACCCGGCGTCGTCGGTGTTTGCTTCAAAGTGTCAGGGTGAATGTCATGCCGTGAAGGCTGCTCTTTGTGATCTCGGGGATCCTGGCTGGGGGGATCCCTGGTTTCCGCATTGAGCTTTGTTGCTTTTTGCACCCTTCAAGTGGCCCATGGTGTTTTTGTGGCTTTTTCGTTGTTTTCTTGTATTATGGGCCTGCGTAACATGACACATAAGTTGTCATCTGCATGCGCTGAGATGATACTAAGATATCACCTCTTGCCTCAACAGGTCTTTTTCACCCATAACTGGAACCTGTCACATCTTTGCTGTGTGGTTGTGTGTTTTTGTGTGTTTTGTGTGGTTTGCTTTTGCTTGTGGTTTGTGTTTTGTGTTGTTTTTGCTCTTGGTTCTTTGTGTTTCGGTTCTTGTTTTTCGAACGTGACAAGGAAATAGGACTATGTATCGGTCCTCTACCAGTTGACTTTTGCGGCCCTACAGCTTGGCCCCTGCGTGAATTAGTTAATTAATCTCACATGCAACATGATTGGAAACATGTTGAACGACCTGGCGGAAGCCATACGGCGTTGGACGGAAAAAAAAGACCTGGCGGAAGCCATACGGCGTTGGACGGAAAAAAAAAGATGATCCGAAAATCACGCCAAGGACAACTCCAACAAGAAGCTCGCCGTCGACGATCAGCCGACAGATGGCGTCTAGCTTGGTGATGTGCGCTGAAAGTGTTGATCAGCAGTGTGAGAAGGTGTGGACAGAAACCAGTCAGGAGATGCAAGAGGCTTTTTGGGCAAAGCCAGAGATTGAAGAGCAGGCGGTGAAGGAGATCCAGGAGCAGATTGAGTCACGCGACATCGGTGGGTTCCGGGGCATCACATCATCTCGGACTCGCTCACCAAGTGGTATGGCAATGGAGCTTTGGTCAAGGCTTTAGAAGAAGGCCTGTGGTCGTTGAAGGACACCAAAGAAGCCAGCAATTTGCGCAAGGAAGCTGCCAAAAGGCGGCACGAGTATAAAGGAAAGGCACGCATGGACAGGGGAGGGGATGTGTGAAAACAATGCACATATCAATCCTTGTTTTCTTCCTTGTTCCATGGTGCCCAATTCATTTGGATCGTAGCTGCCAGCACTCGTTCCCGGTGGAAAAAGCGCATGTGCGATCGGTTCGCTTGGTTGGCGCTTGGGGCATTCAACTGTTCTCCATAGAGGTTTGAAGCTGTGAGATGTCATTTTTATGCGACGAGCTGATTTGGAGATCGAACTTTGTGTCCAATGATGTTTTGCATCCAGAAGAACATTGTACCGAAGATTGTGGATGAAGCACTTCGTTCTTGAAGAGCTACACGACCGGTTTAAATGTTTAAGTTTAGTAGAGCCTAACTGCGTTAGCCACCGTTAGGTTAGCGTTAGTCAGCGTTAGGTTAGCGTTAGCTAGCTGGTTATTCACGTTTGGATGAGAACCAGTTCGTTTTGAGAACTTTTGGAAATCTTTCGGTGTTTTGTCGCTAGGTGAATTTGTAGATTTGTAGCAGCTGGAATTGTTTCAACAAACCTTTCCTAGAAGAGGCGAGGTTTGTTAGCTGGAAACCTGGAATCGAGTTTACCAGTTGAGACATCGGCTCAAGGGAGTGGTGTCGTAAGTTCATTTTTTGAACAGAGCTGCAGTGTCACCTAGTTTATCATGAGACAGACAGACAGGGAACACTTTGTGCCTTGGAGCTTTGCTCCCTTCCTTGTTTTGGTTTTCCTGTTGTGTTTGTGTTTCCCTGTGACTGTGTGTTGCGTCTGGAGCGAAAAGAAGGAGTCCGACGTCAGCATGTGGGAGTCGAGGGTGAAACAAGTTTCTTGACACGGCAGTGCTTTAGTGTAATTATATTTTGTGTTTACCTGGGTATCGGTGGGATGTTAAAAACATTTGGATGCGTGAGTCGATGACTTGAGTTGGGTTTAATGTTTGAAAGCTCATTGGGTACGCCATGTCAGGTGCGCATCTCAGCTTCCGGGCCGTGGCAGCATTGATCGGTGTGGAGATTGTGCATTCTTCATGATTCCTAAATAATGGTTTGTATCAATTATAAAAATCATGGTTGTTTCTTAAGTAGTAATAGTTCCTGTTTTCTAACGCAGATAAATACAAATTGTAACTGGCTTATCATAATTCAAGAGGGTTGCTGCTGGATCAAGATGGTTGAAACTGCTTGCTGGTTTTGGCATGGTTTGTTTTACACCGTTTCTCTACATAGTGACACGCGAGCCATTGGCTGAAACCCAAACTTTCCGTGTGCTCATGGACCAGTTGGTTCTTGCTCTTACATATTTGATTTTGTTGAAATGTGCGCATGTGCGCTTGCCGCCCATTTGTGCCTCTTGGTCTGAAGTGACATCTGAAGACTTGTGGGATCTTCACCATGTCTTAGCATTACACATGCATGGGGATGTCTTGGCAGAAGAAGTCAGCGTGGCTATTCGCGCGGCATACGATTGGCACCAGCTCCGGCAGTCTGGTAAAGTTCTGTCAGAGATGTGGTTTCGTGTGGTGAGAAAGCAAGTACCGCTTCCTCATGCTCTCCTGACAGCCATCCATGTCTTGGAGAAGCGGCTGGCAGTGCCTCGATTACCTTGTTTTCCAGATGGTCATGCTCTGCCGTGGTTTACGCAGTGCACGACTGCGCTGCGAGAATTGGTGCCTTCAAGTATGTTTTCGACGACTCATGCTTTGCCTCTCCGTATTTCTGGGGAAGCTACTTCTGGTTTGGTTGAGACCGACGCATCGCCCTCTGTGGCTCCTGCATCTGAATGTCCGCTGGCCATGCACATGCTGCCGGACGAAGGAATGGATAGCAGTGTGGATGAGGCAGAAGAGGATTTGTCCGATGTGAACGGGGATGAGTCACCTAGGCATTTGCAGCAGAAACTGGAGTTGCATTCATCGACTGAGAGAGACTTGAATCGTTTTCGGATACTGCACAGAGATTTTCAACAGGATCGCGCAAACGGTATCGATGATGGTCTCTCGGTGGATATTCCGCTGTGGGCTCGCAAGATTTTGGACAGAGAGGAACATGTAATCAACACACCAAATGCGTGTGCGCAGTCAGACAGCAGGGTTTCCACTCCTGAAGTTGACGTCCCGGCTGCAGGCGGCGAGCAGCCTTCAGCTTCGTCATCATCTGTCCGACGGGAGAGAAAGGCCAGACCTCTTGGTCCGTATCGCTTTCTGTCTCTGCAATCTAGACCTTCCAAGTATGGAGTCTGCACTTTCTGCGGGGTTCCGCGGAAGCTTCATTTGATCAAGACTGGCCGATACAGTGGCGAAATTTGGCTTCGTTGTTCCAATTTTTGGGACACATCTCTGAATGGAAAACCACGCTGCTGGCATGGGAAGCGCTATTCAGGAGAGGTGCCGCGCAGTCTTCTGTCAATGCAGAAAAGATTGAAGAGTACGTTGCAGTGGCAACTGCAGCATGGACCGCAGACTCGCAGGTAGGTTCTATGTACATACCTCTCTGAAGTGTCTGGAAAAGAATGCTGCCGCCTTTGTTTTGGCATGTCAGTGAGCACTTCCCAACTGAGTGTCGCATCTATATTGGGCATGTTACATGAAGGCTGCATCTCAAAGCTTGGAACAGGTCTTTTGCAAGGTCGTCTGGCAGGTTGCGCCAAGCTCTAGATATAATCCATTTTCATGTTGGTTTCCACAAAGAGTGCATTTCTCTAGAAAATGTCTGTGAGTCTCCAAATACCATATATATATATAACATATATTCATCTCCAATGATAAAATGACAGAAATTTATGTGTGCATCCAAAGCTAGCTTCCTTTCTCGATTGGTTCCGCAGTTTTGTTTCGCGTCGAAAAGGAGGTAGCGGTCAAGATGCCTCTGAACAAAGGGAAGTCATGTCGACTCTGTGGCTCCACCAAGCACACCTTGGCAACTTGCTGTTGCCGTGGTGCTCCTGAGTTTAGAAAGCTGCTGAAGGCTAACCAATGCAAGGCCAAATCGAAGCAGAGTAGAACGTGCCGTGGGACTGGCACTGCTGCTGCGAGGAAAAGGGGTGCCAAGCCAGCAAAAAAGGTCGCTGTGTCCTCTCGGAAACGGCAAGCCATAGCTCGTGCCAACTACTCTGGCGACAAGAAGACTTTCGACCAAAGACATGACAGGCAAGGCTCAGGCGGCTCTGTTTGCTCAAAGCCGGAGAAGGCCTTAGAGGAGTTGCAATCTCTGGGCTTTGTCAATCGGCCCGGACTGTGTAGTTCGTGTGGCGTGGGGCAACTGCTCGGACCAGTTCCTCGTCACGATGCGGGTTCAGAAGGATCCTTGTACTACAGATGCTCGAATTGGGAATGCAAGAAGTACACCAATTGCTTGTCCCTGCAAACCTGGCTTTGTGGACTTGGACGCTTTGGGTTGCTGACACCGGTGCGGCTTTTGGGCATTATTAAGGTTTATGCGACCAGAAAGTATCCGCGGCCGCAGAATGCGTGGCCTTTGGTTTCTCGGCTTGCGATCCAGGTCATATCATGTTTTTTTCGCTATGACGGCCTTTCTCCCTCTTACGGTTTCGAATGACCATGGCCTAGGTTTAACCACACAAGATAAAAATGGTTGAAGCCCCGTTGCCAGGCTTGTGAAAACTACAAAGTGGTGCGCTTGGTGATGGATCGTCTTCGCCACCTTGAAGCAGAGGCAGGTCTGCGCATGTGCAAAGAAGAGTCATGGAAGCTCCGTGGCTCCGTCGAAGCCGATGTCACCTCTGTCCGCAAAATGCCGATCAGCCTGAAGAATCCGTATCCTGTCCATTTATCTTAGTTTCCACAAACGAGTCAAATGGAACGCGTTCGTGTCTTTTTTTTAAAACTATGCAGCACACACTTCCAGGCACTGGTCTTCTCAGATCGCGTCATGGCGCAAGGTGCATCCTCGTGAGAAGCCGAAGCATCTCCTATTGTACTGGCGGTGGGGAGGCCTAGTGGAGCGAGGCCAAGGAGGAAAGATCGTGTTGGCAGAACTTCCTCATAAGTTGGTCAGTGGAAAGCAACAGTGAGATTGAAGCTTGTGCCTTCATGTCTCGCATCCATGGCTCCGCTACCGTGTTCGCCGATGGCGCCCGGTCTTGGCGAGCTCATGCCAAGGCCAAGCGTCTGAAGTTTTCACAAGTGAATCACTCCAAAATGCAATTCACCAAACCGCGTGGTCCTCGTCGCAAAGCGGCCGGAACCCAAGTTCTTGACCGCCAATGGAAGTCACTGAAGCAGTATGTGCCACGCGAAGTGGCCAACAAAAACGCTCTGGACAGATCTGTCAACGACAGTCTGAGAGCCTATGTGTACAGCTGGGTTTGGCGGCACAATGTCGGAATCCCCGCTTTGTTGTCCAGCTTGGGACACCTGGCGTCAGAGGGATGACAAACCTGCAGTGTCAGAGATGTGTTTTCCTGTAAGTCTAGAGATTTCTCCTTGTCTCGAATTTATATGCATATGTATATATATATAAATATATATTTGCATGTCTGTGTATGTCAGGTTACACATATATATATATTTGGATATATATATATATGTGGATACATAAATATATGTATATGTACTTGCATATATATATATAAGAATCAGTGTACATGTCCAAATCTGCTCTATAATGTGCGCAACAAGAATTTAACATATTGCTGGCTACCAAGCGGTTTTTTTTCGCTGATTTGCACATGGACTTGTAAAACCCATTGGAAATAGCACAAAATGGACACAAAGTGCTGTAAAACGCAAGGCATTTGCACATGATGCAAAATCCATGGTAACAGAAAGTGCCATGAGGGTTATCGAAATGGCAAGATGCTTGTTTTCAAAACAAGCAAAAACAGCGGGACCGTAATGGACGACGTTACCTTGTTAATGGAAGCGTTGCGGCGCAGTTCTTTAGGAAGTGGCTGAAGAGGTCCCTCGAACTCAAATCCCAAGAAGAAGATTTGCACGCTCAAATGCCGCTTCATTTGAGACGAGTCTTGAAGGGGAAGAAGCTCCTTCTGTGGAAGGAGATTCTGGTGGACCTACAGTACAAGGACGCTGGGGTGATTGACGACGTCATCAAAGGATTCAGTCTGACAGGCTGGCCGGAATACTCCCTGGATCATCTCCTGAAGTTGGCCCCTGCATTGAACGCAGCGGTCACAGTTGCTTTGACTTCAGCAACTGATGGAGAACATGATCAGTTTGTCTGGGATGAAACGCAGAAGGAGGTCGAACAGGGATGGCTTTATCCCGCAGATCACTGCAAACCCGAGTGCATTGCGAAGAGGTACCCCTTGCAGCAAGCCAACAAGGTGCGATTGATGGACGACTTCTCCATCAACGGCGTCAATGCCGCTTATGGCCTGAGGGAGAAATTGAGAGTGCAATCCATTGACCAATTGTGCTCCTACCTGGCCTACATCTTGGACCACTGCAATGATCCTGTGGCGTTGGAATTGGTCGGTAGAATGTTCGACTTCAAACAAGCTTACAGACAGTTTGGAGTTGACCCCTACCACCACGAACTACTGAAGATAGCGGTGCGTAAACCGGGTGGGTCCTACAAACTTTTCAGAGTTGGGGCGTTACCTTTTGGCGCAGTTGGCAGTGTTACATATACAGCATTCTTGCGCATCTCGAATTGCACTTCCTTTATTGCTTTGAAGGCGCTTCATTTAGTGCTCACTGCCTTCTTCGATGATTTTACAGTTGTCTGCAGCAAGCCAGAGACAACACCTTCTGCATGGAGGCGTTGTTCAGGATGTTGGGAATTTGGTTTGCCGATCCGGGAGACAAGGCCCCTCCCTTCAATGGCATTTTCAAAACCTTGGGGCTCTTGATTTCCTTTGAGCAGTTGGAAGCCGGTTTCAAGGCTGCACTTTCCAAGCGGTTGACTGGATTGAGTGCTTTCACGTAGTGATCGCAATGTCTAAAAACTGGACAGCGTAGTTTCGAAGCGTAAGCCCCTTCTGGTTACCAACCTGAATCTGTCGGCATGCCAAATATATAATAATTATATGTTATAAATACTGACATCAGGGTATAAGTACCAAACATCCATATACACATCTACCGCATTGTATGTGCAGCAAACAAAGGAAACTCTTGCAAACACAAACAATCCCAAAACAAATAATGGTCTTATTGTGACTTAAAAACAAAAACCAATTTTGGTAACACCCTCGTCAAAGCCAAACGTGTTTGCTGAGTCAATTTGTTTAATCAACAGTTATCTGTGAAGGTCATTTAAACAGTTTTCATCCACTGTTTTCAGTTTCACAGGTAGTACGTGTAGCCATCCAATCGGTTTTTCGTTTTCAGTGGTCGGGGCCGTTCAACGTGGTCGCTCCCTGAATTTCCTTGGACAATTTGTGCAATTTCCGCTGCTGCAGGTTGTACAACTGCTTTTGTGGCCATATTGGCCTTGTTGCTGTCTTTGGAGTGACCATTCATGCAACGTCGGCCTCTTCCACGCCGACCATCTCAGATTTCCGATCAAAATATTAGTTTTGTTCTCACTGGAACAGGAGCAGCATTGGACATTCAACACACCATTTTGCTTTTTCTGCAAGATTCTCAGGAAGTGTGGGCCTCAGAGCTTCGAGTATTCAGCCAGACCTCAGTCAACCTTTTCAGGGTGATACTCACGTGGAGGCAAGTTGACACACCAAGTGTTGCCAGTGCTCCCAGTTTGATATTTCACACTTCAGACGATGATGAATTCTGATTTTTCCAGTGCTGCAGCGTCCCAATCACAGGGGACAACACAAGGACGCATGGGTGACGCCTCAGAGCCTAGTTGCCCATCTTTTGAACCTGGTGTGCAAACATTTCAGCAAGAAAGTGCGTTTTCAGGTTTTGGTTTTGATGCCCCAGCCTTTCAGCAAGAGAACAATGCAAGTGCTATGCAATTTTCTTTTGAACTTGAGCCTGGACCTGAAGTTTCAGCTGCAAAAGGCTTCAGAGCGAGGTGGAGAGCCAAATCTCAGGCTAAGCGCGATGACATGTCCATGTTTGGAGGTGAATCGTCTGGATCCCAGGTGCCTTCACAGTCAACAGGCAGTGCACCTTGTTTGATACCAAGTGCAAAGAGACAGAAAACACAGGATGAAGTTGCCAGGGAATCCAACAGTGAAAGCAATGATGTGTCGACAATACAGTTGCAAAATGTTGCAAGACTTGCTAGTCTTGAAGCGATGCACAGATTCCGGACCCACGACATCAAGATGCCCTGGGAGCAAGGACCTCTTGCACCGGTTTTTGGAGGACCCATGCCAGCCATGCCACCAGTCAAGAGCTTAGTTCCTCCAGAAGTAGGTCTCATCGACACATTGGCACCTGCAGCGTCAAAATGTGTCGTGCCCGAAGATGAGATGCTAGCCAGATGCCTCAACCAAATCAAAAGCTTGCTTTTGCTTGACCTGCAGGGGACTGAAGTGGGTGTAACCTTATGCAACTTAGCTGGAGGGTTGGATGACTCAATAGATGTACTTCAGATCCTCAAGGACTGTTTTGCGAAGAAGGCCACAGCAACGATCCTCAAGAGAACTTCATCCCTATGGTCGCTTGCAGGCTGGATGCAGGAGAATGAACAGACGCAAGTTTGGAGCATCACTGAGCAGCAGTTATACTCATACATGTGTACATTGAGGGATCAACACGCTATTAAATTTCACGAGCTCCTGGGATTTTGTGATTTTTAGGGAATATTGGATATCAAGGTCAAGATGCAATATGTGGTGCAGTGTACGCGCACAAGGGTGGCACCAAAAAACTTAAGCGTCATGGTTTGCACGGGTTTGCACTGGATCAGCCTTCCATAAATGGAATTGGTCCAATTAATCGTTCAGAAAAAATTATGGACCAATTCCATTTATGGAAGGCTGATCCAGTGCAAACCCGTGCAAACCATGACGCTTAAGTTTTTTGGTGCCACCCTTGTGCGCGCACACTGCACCACATATTGCATCTTGACCTTGATATCCAATATTCCCTAAAAATCACAAAATCCCAGGAGCTCGTGAAATTTAATACAACACGCTGCTCCAACAAAAGCCAACCACCTTGTTGAAGCGTTGAACTTCTTTGACGCGAATTTGAGATTCAGAAAGACAAGTTGCAAGGCGATTCTGTCACCTAGGGTTCAGGGAGCAGCCCACTCGATGTACTTGGAGAAACGAAAACTGAAGCAAGATTATTTGCACAAGCAACACAAATCTTTTGCGCACTGCTGTTTCTGGAGCGCTGTTATTTTGTGTTTTTGCTTCAGCAAGATGGTCAGATTTTGCGAGATTGGAGCGCATTTGGACTGATAGACATGGAGAGCTGGTTTTGGTAGAAGCTGAAACGTCGAAACACAAGACGTCAAAGAGCAAGGAGGCCAAGACCAGGTTGTTGCCATTTACGGCACTCGGAAAGTTTGATTCAGATGATGCCTGGGGTGAATCCTTTGTGAACGCCTTGAACGAGATCAAGGAAATTACGGGAAGGCCCTTTTTGCCATCCTGGAACAACAGAGCCGGCAACTGGGCTGTGTCACCAATGACAACGGCCGAGGCATCGTTGTTTTTGAAGGAGTTTTTGGAGCCCGCTTTGGGCCAAGAGGCAGTCGCACAGTTCAGCTCTCACTCCTGCAAGCCCACAGTACTGACGTGGTGTGGCATGACTGATATCCTTACGAGAGAAGAGCGTACAATGCTTGGACACCATATCGAACCATCCACAAAATCTGCAACCACCTACAACAGGGATTCACAACTCCTGCTCCAAGCAAAGGTGGCCAAAGTTTTGCAGATGATAGTGGAAGACGAGTTGGACCCGGATGCCAGTAGAGCGTCCAGATTGAGCAGGCTCTTGCGTTCAGATGTACCGGAAGATCCAGATGAGGCGTCACAGGAATCAGACTTTGAAGATACTGAAGTGGCTTCAATCCACTCCAAACTTCATCTGGCTGACAGACCTGGAATGCCAATTGGCGACCCAGATGAGTATACTTTTGTTGCGCACAAGTTGGCTGGAACGGTGCACGTACTTCAAGATG